TGCTTGGCTCTAATGAATAATGTGACTGTTTTGTATCACATTCTTTCCAACCATCTGCTAAGTACAATTTAGCTAGCAATTAGCTAGCAATTAAGCTGGCCTGTCAAAAAACTTAATTGTCAACTCAACCAATTTTCAGAGTTATATTAATGATAATAGCTATGCAGCAAACTGAATTTGATAATAATGCTTTGAACATAAACCTCAACAATTCTAACTTGTTTTCTCAACCATATACAGCTTGGGAAATAGAAATATGATGTGCAAAAATAAATAAATAAATAAATAAATAAATAAATAAACCTTTCGAATAGGAGGGTTGAAATTTAATATCAAATTCTTTTCTTTCATGGCTTTCTAAAGCCTGAGGCATTTTCCCATAAACAGAAGCACCTACCTAGCACTCGCCCTCCTTTTCCCTTGACAGCCATTACTTAGTTGGAGCATGTGCCCCTAACTAAACAGACTTCTTCATTCTTTAATTTAAAATTGTCTGGTTACTGAAGAGATTCAAAGATCTGTCAAATTAGGCCTTTCTTCTAGAGATATATTAGGAAACAGCCCAGGCTATGGAGTCAGAAAACCTTAAGCAGGAATTCTGACTCTTGTACTCACTAGCTGTGTGACCATGAAAACCTGTTTCTCCATCTGTCAAGTGATTAAGAAGCCTCCCCTGCAGAATGTTTCAAGGCCTATAGGTAATGAATGTTGTATGGTCAGCACTTTGTAAGGACTCACTAACTTGGAGCCATAATAAATCTTTTTTTTGTTGAAATCCATAATTTATGTAATATTAGAGATATCTTTTAGGCATAAGCTCCTAGCTTTTCAGTTCCTAATCCATTCTTTAAAAAAAAAAAAAAATCTAAAGCTCACTTAGCCCACAAAAGAAATGCTATGGTCACCCATCACTCTGACCTAAAGAAGACAACAGAGACTCCAAAGGATGCCAGCGATCGAAAATAGCCCCCCTCCTGTAAGCCCGTGCAGACTTCACGCTTTTTCTCCTGAATTCTTATCGATGTGAAAATGAACAATCTTCTAAGAAACTCTCAGACCCCACATTTTACTCTGACTTAGTTGTAGGGGCTCTCCCTGAAAATGTGGCAGGGAATGTTTCTTTTAATCTCTGTGGCTTCATATTTTTGCTACCATGATGCCAAATTCAGTACTCACTTTGACTCTCTGAAAAGAATTTGACACCCAGACGTTTACATTCATTTTTTAGTTCCATGACAATTCATAAACCTATTCAGCAAATATTTCACTTGCACGTAAGGCTCTGAATTAACTATTAGGGCTACGAAGATGAATAAAAATCTTTCTGCCCCAAAGAACTTTAACGGCAGAGACATAAATGGGTAGGCGCACATATACAGACCACATATACACTCAACACTCAATAAAACAGAAATAGCGATAAGTAGAAAAAGAATTATGCAGATAAAGAGAATGCTATTAAATCAGGACTAAACTAAAATATATTAATGACTTCTAGTGGCAGTAAAATTAGTTAATTATTTATAAAACAGAACAAGTTGCTTTTGTTTCTATTTCAACAAGATCATTACTGGATCAAAACTGCTAGTTAAACCGTGAACCAAGTTTAATAAACAAGATGTGCTTTCATGTGTGATTTTATTCCTAGAACCTATCATTGTTTAGTGATTATAACGTTTTTCACTGAGGTAATGATAAAAATCTATGATGACTACATATTACCAAAGCATAGGCTGATTGTTTGATTATCATTGCAATTAAAGGGTATTTTTTTTTCTCAAACCATATAACGTCTTCCACACATTTGCTTCCAAGTTAATGAATGGATGAATGAGGATAAGTCCTAGGTTTCTTTGCACTGAACTCTAATACACTCTTGCTTTTGAAATGGACTGTTAGAGGAGTTCCGTGTATGTTGTACAACACACGCACACAAAAGCAGAGAATAATTTAAAACACTATGCCTATCTAAACAGAAATGAATCCAAAATTGTCTTTGCAGTGTATAATTCTTAATGGTCAGTAGTGATGAATTATTTTACATAAACCGTCTGTAGCAATCAAATAATCAATATAGATTCAACTCAAGAATTGTTTTTGAGCCTGTTATGATAACATGTTTTTGTGGCCTTTACACTTTAGAAAACACATTCACCTCTTTTTTCTCATTTGAGTATGCAGCAACTCTCTGAAAGATGTTATTTTCATGTTCATCTTTTAGAGAAGAAAGCCATAGTTAATAGGACTAATAATTAACAGAATTATGGATCTCAAATCCTATATCCTCTCTAATAGCTTATATTATCTCTTCTATGTATTAAGCACTCAGTAAGGGGTCCAGAGCAAATCAAACAATTTCTTGATAACAGACGTGTATTGCACTTTTCACCTTACAAAAGATTAACAACTATATTATCCCCTTTGAATAGGACAATGACCTTTTGAGACAAGAGCTCAAATATTAGGGAAACTTAAACACCACTGAGAAGAGGATAAGACAACAGTAGACTATAAGACAGTGTTTGATCTGGGCTTTGGTTGATTGGGAGAGAAGGGACCCTATTCAGGTAGGAAGATCAGGAGATTCAGTTTGGATTTCAAACACAACTGCAACGAATTGATGCACAAAGCCAAATGAGGGCTACTCATCTTTAAGTTCTGATCCTACATGGCTTCTCTAAAAATCTTCCATACTTCTTCGGTGAAAGACTTTTCAGAGGGGGAAAAAAGAAACTGGAATATTAATTTCAAAAATTAAAAAGCAAGTGTTCCCAGAGAACAAATATTTCTGAAATCATTAAAGAAGAAATGTATATGTCACACCAAATGAATTTCCAAAGTGATATTAATCCTAAATAAAAGTGCAGTTATGCGTTATTTAAAAAAAAATAAACGTAATAATCTAAAATTGAGAAAGTCTGGCTTTAGGAAAATTTGTAAGATTCAATACACTTTTTCACTGTATAGGATAATAACTGTCCAGTCCCAAACATCCATCCCTCTCTCATTCTCAAAATATCAAACCAGGTTATGAGAGCAATGGTATTTTTTTTTAAGATTTTATTTGTTTATTTGAGAGAGCAAACACGAGCAGGGGGAAGGGGCAGAGGGAGAAGCAGACTCTGCTCAAACTCGGCTGCACATCACAACTTCCCTTCACTTGGTGCTGGCCAGCGGTGTGTATATAGTAGGTTAAGGGTCAAAACCTATAGAGGTTTTTTCCAATGATATGTGGAAGGAAGGCAAGATGAATAAAACCTAGTAATTTTCTGTAACAGTTAAGTTCAGCATGTGTTTGGTCTATATCTCTTGTCTGATTTGCCTTCCTTTTATTTTTATTTTTATTTTTATTTTCATTTTTATTTTTTCTGATTTGCCTTCCTTTTACTCCAGATACTTGTGTCATCTTCTCCAGACTAAACCTTTTTGAATAAGCTTGACAGTAATCACTTAAGAATCTTCATAGGACTTTCTATGCTAAAAGTAATGCAGACATCAGAGAAAAGGGAATTTATGCCACTTGCTTTCATCTGGACACTCACTCTATGAGGATAAAGAGTGTAGCTTTGAAAGTAGAATTTACATCATCACTACATTAGTTATATTGTTCTATGGAGAAAACGGACACTAACAAGTTGATAGAAAAACAACATGGAATGTGTGTATAGTCTGTATCTATATGTGGAAAGTTAATGTGAAGAAAAAGAGCCTAGATTTTGTCATTTTAAGATGCCTGCAGGGGTGCCTGGGTGGCTCAGTGGGTTAAGCCGCTGCCTTCGGCTCGGGTCATGATCTCAGGGTCCTGGGATCGAGCCCCGCATCGGGCTCTCTGCTCAGCAGGGAGCCTGCTTCCTCCTCTCTCTCTGCCTGACTCTCTGCCTGCTTGTGATCTCTCTCTCTCTCTCTCTCTCTCTCTGTCAAATAAATAAATAAAATCTTAAAAAAAAACCCTCAAATCAAATAATGTGATAATTGATAAAATAACAATAATTAAAATGAGATAAAACCACACAGCTTTTGAGATAACCATGTACACACAGGAATAAGTTAGAGAATGAGGTACATTAAATGATCTTGTTTATTCAATACCCAATCCTTTCTTGATATTTTTATAGGAAATGAAAACCATTATCTCCACTAGGGGAGATAATTATTATGTTGTCACTATAATTCCCATCTGGGCGAATTTCTGTAAATGGAATGTACACACCCTTGTAATTAGAGGGTATTCTATTAATGTAGAATGTAGCTTCATTTGTTGAGCACTTATTATTTGCAAATAACTCTACTAAACTCATTGATTTCTATTCCAAACCCTGGAAGTTAAGAAATAGTTATCCTAATTGTACAGATGAGAAAATTGAGGCACAAGGAGGGTTAACCATTTTGGCTTTGCATCACAAAGCTGGTAAATCTAATGCCAGAATTTTGTTCTTAACCACTGCAGATAACCACATCTGCCAACGGAATTTAGACTCTAAAATGTCAGAGTATTGTTCACATAGACAAGTTGTCTGGAAGACAATGCATATGCTTTTGTACTTTTTTTCCTCAGTGCATTTTTGTCTTTCTCACTTAGATTTGAACTTGTCAATGAACTTTCTTCATCTTCCTTCCTTGAGTGAACAAGTTCTGTGTTTCACTTGATTTTTGTCCTTTATTTTTGCTGTATTTTTTCCTCAGAGAGCATATCCCTATTAGAAAAGAATATATATAGCCAGGAAGATCCATCTCTTCAAGTAAATCATTATTACTTTATATACTAGTACCATCTGGACTTCCTAATTTTTGATAATTCCATTTAAAAAATAAATCTACTTAAATGAAAATATACACAGGTATAGGTATATAATTTACATGACTGAATAAATTCAAGTGGAACATAATAATACCTTATCTTCCTCACACAGATTTACCCTTTCATAGACTGTTTTTCATGGTTTATCCAAATGGCTCATGAGCAACCCAAGGTAGTAGTCATTTGCTTTCTCCCCCCCCAGAAGCTCAGAAGAAGCAATTGGAAGAGAGTATAGAGCTGATCCAAGAGGAATGTGTGTCAGAGAATGCAGATCACTCTACAGAGGAGCCTGCTGAAGGAGGGCCAGATGCGGATGGAGAAGAGATGACTGATGGGATAGAGGAGGACTTCGATGAAGATGGGGGTCATGAGCTGGTAGGAACTAAACATTTGGTGTTCACACCCTTTGGTAACAGCACCAGCATGTCAGCAACTCATTCATTCTAAAATAAAGATTTAATATTTGGGGCTTATTTCATTCTTATCTACATATATGCAAGACAACATCAGTATAGTGCTTTGCACATAATAAGTGCTCAATACATTTCTGCAAACTTAAAATATGACAAGAGTAAATGAATGGACAGTTGAAATATTATATATGACATCAGCTATAGTTAAAGTGAAATGAAAGATTCTCTTTCCCAATTGCTCCATCATGAAAGGAATCTTGCACTTGAGCAATTACATGTGAACTGTACGTGGATATAATATTCTGGCTACAAATGACCATCTAATGGAAAATACATGGCTCCCTCTCTTATTAGTGTCATTCAGTGATGATAATTATCTTTACTAGTTGTATGGCCAACAGTTATTTCTGTAGTCTGAAGACTAAGATGACCCTTGATATATGGCTGGTTCACCATCTTTAGTGCATGTACTGCTTGATAGCCAGTTTTTATGAGTTGGGGTTTTAGCCCAGACTTGATTCCTTGTATGTTTTATTTTCCCAATGTTGTTATAATCATAGTGCTCACTTCTGATGGTCTTCCCTGTATACATACACCAAGGACTTCGTAAATATACGCTGATGAGGATGCAATTTCTCATATTTTATCATCTATGAAATTAAACATACTATCTTAAAGGGACTGACTACTAAAAATGATGAGAGGACAAGTTTGAGTGTATGTGTGTATGTGTGTGTGTGGCCAGCTCTCAAATATCTGTGGACTAATATTAAACTTCACTTATCCCAGGTGATTTCAGATTCCAGTTTGTTACAATACCTATTATTACTTAATGAATTTTGTCATGGTGGTTGTTGTTTTGGTGTGGTAACCACCCTATCAATAGTTTCATTTTGGAAGCTATATATTGATTTTTGGCATTCCGGTTCTGTTTAAATTGCATGGGGCCTTCATTTAAACTTTTCAAATAGTCTTTAGAGTCTTTAATAACCACCCTTATTTCTCCAGAAATTGGCATCAGCTTGAAGACTTAAGTCACTTTTTAGAATGGCTTTGATTTCAAGAAATCTATTAAGCAGGATAGAATGAAAGATTAACAGACCTTTCAGATTTTCCTTAGGCCAAACTTTCATTCAATAACTTAATTTCCTCAACCCTTTGTAATCAGACTTCTGTTTTTACCATTCTATTGTGAGTGCTTTTGCCAAGGTCTATGCAGTCCTCTGTGTTGCCATTTCCAATGGTTACCTCTCTGTTCTTATTTTCATTTACTTCTCAGCAAAATTTGGCTAAGAACCAATTAGGGGAATTCTGAGAAATTCTCCTATGATACCAAGTGCTCATTCTCATTTTCCTGTGTTAGAAACTTTCACTCCATACTCCCATTTCAAATATTAGAGTAGCCCAGGGCTTTGCCATATCCTACTTTCTCTTTCTACTCTTTTCCAGGATGACTTCATTAAATAACAGAGTTTTAAATGTCATCTATAGGCCAAAGATTCCCAAATATAAATTGGTATTCCTTATCTCTTCCTAGAATTCTAGACTCAGACATTTAGGTGCCCATCTCTTCACAGATGTCCTCCAATAAACCACTGAAACTCAACATGACCAAAACATTCTTGGTTTTCCTCCAGTCATCTTATCCCTTCCCAGTCTTCATTCTGATAAACAACTTCATTATCCACATAGTTGTTAAAACCAAGGAGACTAGGATTACCTTTGATTCTCTCCACCCTCCCCCATTAAATCTACTTCCAAATCATAACCCAAAGCTAATTACATCTCCACTACAACAAACTGATTTTCTTGGTTCAGCTCATGCAATCCATTCTCCACACAAGAAAGATTAAAATTCTTCATAAACTACACATCAGATAATGTTACTCCCTTGCTTAAAATCCTACAGCAGTTTCTATGGCACTTAAAATAAAAATCCCCAAGTGTATGAATGTAAATTGTAATGAGGTTCGGTGTTGACAATGCCAGTGGAGAGAGAGAACTTCATGAAGAGAAAGGGAGAAAGTTCCTGATGCTGCAGGGAAAGGAATCTAGAACACAGTTATATGGGTCTGGCCCTCAACATGAAGAGGAACATTTTTCCACTGCAACTAGCTGCAATAAGTCTGAGGATTTGGTGGCAGGGGTTTAAGGGAGTTCAAGCACAAACTGTATAAGTCAGAGGGTGATGATCTCTGGAGAGTGAGAAGAGACAGACAGGACCACAGATTGGAGGAGAATGGAGATTTAAAGAAGCTAGTATGTAAAACATAGAGGGGCACTAATTTAGAAAACAAATAAAGATTGACAGCTAGTGTTAATAGCCAATTGAGGTTAAAGACAAAGGTTTAATGCAGCAGTATTTTTTTTTTTAACTTTAGTGTATATCAAGATTACCTGGAGAACTTGTTAAAATACAGACTGTTGTATTTCATTCCTAGAGTTTCTGATTCAGTATGCTGAGTGAATCTGGGACTGCCTGTCTGGGGACCGTACTTTGAGAAACACACTGGTGTAGAGGCATCAATCAGCCCAGCTGTGCAGCTTTCTCCATTAGCTTGTATCAGCCCTGGTAGAAGCACGGAGAAAGCCAATACATTCAGTTGGATTTCTGTCAGATAAGTGCAAAGAAAAACAACAAATAAAGAACATTGAGGACATTAGTAAAGACTGGCTAACTAGATGAATCATGGAGTTGAACCTGAGCAGGGAAGATGGGAACACAGGAGGGGACTGACAAGGAGAAAATAGAGACTTCTCTGAGTCTCAGCTTTCTTATCTGTAAAAGTAGTAAGGTTAGATCAGAAGTTTCTAAAATCCATTCTGTTTGATCTTTACTCCGAGTGAGTCTGTGTTCCAGGAGTCTGTGTTCCTTACATCTGAAGGAGCAAGTGTTGGTCATGCCAAGGGAATAAATCCAAACCACGGTATTTGGTTTACACTCTGAACACACAGAAAGTAACTGATTAGCACTATGGCTGCCTGGAGATGCTTGGGTTTTCTCCCTTAACCCTTGTACTATAACTGGGGGCTTAGAATTAAATCCTATCTCTAATATCTCACTTTGTTTTTAAAGACTTGGAAAACAATGAATGAGAATGAGCAATCAAAATAGAGACTGAACAGTCCCTCCTAGTGACTGGCCAAGAGAAAATTCCTCTGTCTGGTGTCCACTGTTTCCTCTTTTCCAGTGTTGGGTCCATTATCAAAGGAATGAGCCTGAGACAAAGTGAAAGTTATGCAAAGCCTTATTTTATGCCAAGGATTAGAAGTCAGACTGACCGGCCAGGGCCACCTCCGAAGAGAGCAACCCCCCTTTGGTCTTACAGGCTAGTTTTATAGGGCACAACCGCAGACCTCTACATATGTGGCTTTGGCTGATTGGATGTCTTTTACCTGTCTGGCCTTATTTTAGGTGTGTGTTTTAGCAACGATTACCCGGAACCGATATCACTAACTGCTGAGGCATTTATTAAACAACAAAATGACTACCTAGGCAACATGGTAACAACAAAATGGCTATTTAGGCAATGAAATGGCTATCTAGGCAACATGGAGTCACTCTGGCTAAGCAGGCCCAGGCAGGCCCTAGAGGTTTAACAGGCTTTAACGTGGAATCGGCCCCAACATCCAGACCACATGAACCAGATCATCTATGGTTCCTGAAAAGAGAAGTAAAAGCATAAATGTTCCCTTTTAAAAAGGCAGATATGGTTACAGATTCAGCAAGAATATAATATAATTAGGTTTTTAACACATGCAGTAGGAGTCAGAAAGAAAAGCTAGGACACATGCTCAGGCAGGTGCTCAAAGAAAATCTGGAATGAACAGGAAACAAGAATTGTATCTGAAGCAAGGGAGATCCAGCCAAATGAGCTAATGGGTCAGTTGTAGGTGGTGGTACCCCTGTGGAGCATGTGAGAAGCTGAAGGCACGAGCTGTCCTTTCATTGTCTAGTTCTAAATATCCAGTTAGTGAAATTGATTTCCGTGAAACAATCCATTCAGCTGACATTTGGGTGCCTATTCTGTGTGAACCAGGTGTTACCAAAAATGCAAAGATAACTAAAACTATTGTTTTATGTATGAAATGAAATGTTGAAGTAAATGATTCCTTTTTTCAGGTAGCTTAGTGCCCTATAGAATATTAATTTCCTCATGTAAAAAATAATAGACGTATACTTGATAATTTATAAGCAGCCAGCCAAAGCTAAAAATCTGTGATTCTACAATCATCTACGCCTACATATTTCACTAATGTATGGAGAATAAGACTTGAATGTATTTAAAATTGAACTCTGTATTCATGCTCTATACATACACTAGCATACCACTACCCTACTCCTGCTTCTAAATAAATCCATTTCCAAATATTTATTGATTGAACACTAATGAATGGCACTGAGGTTTTTGCTATGGAAATAAAGAAGGAAAATCCCATGTTTTCCCTCAAGAAGGATATCAACTGACTGAGGATAAAGGCTACGGATTAAAAAAAAAAAAAAAGGGCAGTATGTTATGTTAAGAACCATATGAAGATATAGTTTACAAACAGGGAATCACACACAGCTAGGATGGTCCAGAAAGGCTCCTGGCAGAAGTAAGATTGGAACTTTATCTTAAAGGATGGCAAATTAAAGTGACAGTATGTGCTAAGGTTGAGAAAAGAATATTCAAATCAGCTTTTGTTGTTCCCAGATCATTTTATAGAAAATATATTTAATGTCCAAAATACATTAAATACTTCATGTGATAGGTAGGTAGATGGGTTGGTGGACAGATGGATGGATGGATAGAGAGATGATAGACAAATCTTTTCTTATATAATGACTGGAAACTTCACAAGACATTTATACATTTCAGGCTCTTTTATTTTTTTCATATCCACCAAAGTTGTTAGCACCTTTTATATAAAGTAACATGATCCAAAATAAAACCAGTCTATGGCATAATGGAAAATATT